CCTAGTGTCATATAGTTGGAATCATACAACATGTAGCCTTTCCAGATTGGCGTCTTTCACTTAGTAATGTGCATTTATGGGCCTTCCGTGTCTTTTTGTGCATTGACAGCTATTTCTTTATAGTGGTAAAAAGCACGTCATAAAATTTACCATCTTAACCATTTTTAAGTAGACAGTAAAGTGAAGGTTACTTACATTGTTGTGAAACAGGTCTCCCGAACTGAAACTCCATACCCATTAAACAACAGCTTCCCTTTGCCCCCCCCTGCCGCCCTTGGTAAGCACCATTCTACCCTCCATATCTGTGATTTTGACCAGCTTAGATACCTCATGTAGGTGGAATCATGTACTGTTCGTCCTTTTGTGACTGGCTTATTTCATTTACCATAATGTCCTCCAGGTTCCTCTGTGTTGTAGCATGTGACAGGATTCCTTTTTTCGTGCCGAATAATATTCCATTGTGCATGTATACTACACTGTGTTTACCCACTCCTCTGTCCGTGGACACTTGGGTGACCCCCACCTCTTGGCCGTTGTGCAGAACAGTGCTGTGAGTGCTGGGAATAATAATGTGCTCTGTGTGACCTCTTCTCTCTTCTTTTGGGGATGTACTCAGTAGTGGAATTGCTGGATCATAAGGTAATTCGATTTTTACTTTTTTGAGGAACCGCCACACTGTTTTCCACAGTGGCTGCACCATCTTACTTGCCCACCAACAGCTCACGAGGGCTCCAACTTCTCTACATCCTCGCCAAGGCATGTTGTTTCCTGAGTTTTTTTTTTTTTTTAAAGGTTTTATTTATTTGAGAGAGAGAATGAGAAAGAGAGAGCACATGAGAGGGGGGAGGGTCAGAAGGAGAAGCAGACTCCCTGCTGAGCAGTAAGCCTGATGCGGGACTCCGTCCTGAGACTCCAGGATCATGACCTGAGCCGAAGGCAGTCGCTTAACCAACTGAGCCACCCAGGCGCCCGTTTCCTGAGTTTTTGATAGTGGCCGTCCTAATGGATGTGAGGCAATATCTCATCGTGGTTTTAATTTGCATTCCTCTGATGATTAGTGATGATGAACATCTTTTCTTACCTTTGTTGACCATTTGTCTATCTTTGGAGAAATACCTGTTCAAGTCCTTTGCCCATTTTTTAAGTAGAGTTATTCAATTTTGTTGTTGTTGTGTGAATTCTTCATATATTCTAGATATTAATCCTTTATCAGGTATGTGATTTGCAAACGTCTTCTCCCATCCCTTAGGATGACTCTTTACTCTGTTGATTGCATCTTTTGAGGAACAAAAGTTAAGTTCGATATAGTCCCATTTGTCTGTTTTTGCTTTTGTTCCCTGTGCTTTTAGTGTCCTATCCAAGAAATCATTACCAAATCCATCATGAAGTTTTTTTCCCCTATGTTTCTTCTAGGAGTTTTATGGTTTGGCTTCTTACTCTTTCTCTATATCACTGAATAATATTCCATTGTGTGAATGTACCACAGTTTATCTGTTTAGCTGTTGAGGGACACGTTGATTGCTTCCAGTTCTTTGCAACTTTAAAAGTGTTATAAACATTTATACAGGCATAGGTTCTTTTTTAAAGATTTTATTTATTTGAGAGAGAGAGAGAGCATGTGCGTGCTCGCATGAGCAAGGGGAAGAGCAGAAGGAAAGGGACAACCAGACTCCCCACTGAGCATGGAGCCTGAGGCAGGGCTCGACATGGGGCTCCATGTGGGGCTCCATGCAGGGCTTGATCCCAGGACCCTGAGATCATGAGCTGAGCCAAAGGCAGATGCCTAACCAACTGAGCCACCCAGGTGCCCCTGGATATCTCATTTGGGTAAATACTTAGGAGCATAACTGCTGGATCTTTTTTTTTTTTTTTTTAAAGATTTTATTTATTTATTTGACAGAGAGAGGCACAGCGAGAGAGGGAACACAAGCAGGGGGAGTGGGAGAGGGAGAAGCAGGCTTCCTGCTGAGCAGGATGGGGCTTGATCCCAGGACCCTGAGATCATGACCTGAGCCGAAGGCAGACGCTTAACGACTGAGCCACCCAGATGCCCCGCTGGATCATATTTTAAGAGTATTTTTGGCTTTGTAAAGATTTTTATTTTATTCTATTTATTTATTTGGTAGAAAGAGAGAGCACAAGCAGGGGGAGTGGCAGGGAGAGGGAGAAGCAGGCTTCTACTGAGCAGAGAGCCCAACGTGGGCCTTGATTCCAGGACCCTGGGGTCATGACCTGAGCCGAAGGCAGACACTTAACCAACTGAGCCACCTAGGTGCCCCAAGAATATTTTTGGCTTTGTAAGAACTGCCAGGCTGTCTTCTAAAGTTGCTGTTCCATTTGCATTCCCATCGGCAAATAAGAGTTTCTGTTGCTCTATAATCTTGCCAGCATTCAGTGTTATCATTTTTAAAAATTTTAGCCATTCTAATAGGTGTGCAGTGGTAATTCACTGTTGTTTTAGTTTATAATTCCCTAATGAGATGTGATATTAAACATCTTTCATGTGTTCACTTTTCATCTTGTGTATCTTTTTTGGTGGGGTGTTCATTCAGGTCTTTTGCCCACCTTTTAAATTGGGTTGTTTTCTTATTTTTGAGTTTTAAGTGTTCTTTGTATATTTGGGATACAAATCTTTTCTCATATACATGCTGTGCAAATATTTTCTCCCAGTCTCTGGCTTGTCTTTTCATTTTCTTAACAGTGTCTCTGTAGACCAGAAGTTTATGATTTTAATGAAATCCAGTTTTATCTTTCATAGATCATACTTTCGATGTTATATCTAAAAAGTCATTGCCAGGGACGCCTGCGTGGCTCAGTTGGTTAAGCGTCCAACTCTTGATTTTGGTTCAGGTCATGACCTCAGGGTTGTAAGATTGAGCCCCATGTCGGGTTCCATGCTCAGTGTGGAGTCTGCTTGAGATTCTTTCCACCTCACTCTCCGTCCCCTTCTGTTCCTCCCCCAGCTTGTGCACACTCTCTCTTTCTCTCTCTCCAATAGAGAAAGAAAATTTTTTTTTAAAAAGGAGAGAAAGTGAATTAAAAATAGATAGTCATTGCCAAACCCAGGGTCACTGAGATTTCCTCCTGTATTATCTTCTAGAGCTTTTGTAGGTTTGTATTTTACATTTAAGTCTGATCCCTTTTGAGTTGATTTTTGTAAAAGATGTAAAGTCTATGTGTAGATTGATCTTTTTGCTTGTGGATGTACAGTTGTTCCAGTACCATTTGTTGAAAAGACTGTCTTTTCCCAATTGTATTGCCTTCACTCCTTTGTCAAAGATCAGTTGACTGTATTTATGGGGTTCTGTTTCTGGGCCGTCTGTTCTCTTCCTTCGGTCTATTTGTCCTTATGCCCATACCACACTGTATTGGTTAACAGAGCTTTAGAATAAAGTCGGGCATTATCTGTCCTTCGACTTAGTCTTCTCCTTCAGTATTGTGTTGACCGTTTTGAATCTTAAGCCTGTTCATATAAACTTTAGAATCAGTTTGTTGATAACCACAAAATAATTTGCTGGAATTTTCATTGGGATTTTGTTGAATCTGTGGATCAACTTGGGAAGAACTGACGTCTTGACGGTATTGAGTATTCCTACCCATGAACATGGAATATTTCTCCGTTTATTTAGTTCTTTGATTCTTTTCATCAGAGGTTTGTAGTATCCTTCCCATAGATCTTGTACGTATTTTGTTAGATTTATAGCCAAGTGTTTCAGATTTTTTGGTGCTAATGGAAATGGTATTGTGCTTTTCATTTCAAATTCCAATTGTTCATTTTTGGTTCATTGTTTTTCAAAATATGAATCCATGCTGACTGAAACAAGGTAGAACTGTGCTAAGATGAAAACAGGAAAGGCTGGGCGCCTGGGTGGCTCAGTTGGTTAAGCGACTGCCTTCGGCTCAGGTCATGATCGCAGGGTCCTGGGATCGAGTCCCACATCGGGCTCCCTGCTCGGCGGGAGGCCTGCTTCTCCCTCTCCCACTCCCCCTGCTTGTGTTCCTGCTCTCGCTGTCTCTGTCTCTTTCAAATAAATAAATAAAATCTTTAAAAAAAAAAAAAAAGAAAACAGGAAAGGCTAATCACCCCTCACCTTCCCCCTCCCCAGTACCCAGCACTAATGCACAGCGCATGCTATTCGAGACCTTTCTTCTTGCTCAGCAAACTTGCAAAAGCTACAGGAATGTGGTCAAATAGAGATCTATGTTTATTTTTGCTGCAGCAGAATCACACCATCCATGTTACTCTGCACCTTCCTTGTAGCCCTTAACAATTTATCATGGCCAAGCCTGTAAGTAGTCAGTGGATACAAATTCTGCCCCCTCTCTCCCCCACTTCTTTATGCATGTACATTTGTGCATGCACACACTGATTATTCCACAGGAATAAAGTCCTTATGCAAAGTATGGGCATTTTATTTTGACATATATATACATATATAATATATATATTTATCTTTTGATCTACTCTTATCTTCACCCTTAGGTAATCTGCATCAGTAACTGTATGCTGAGTGATGGTTAGGATGTGTAAGCTCGCCATCCTGGTTAGACACCAGGTTCTTTAGATGTAGAAATGGTATCATCTTTTGTGTTCCTCTGGGCTGGGCTGAACACAGGGCCAGGAAATTACCAGCTGGTAGCCTAGAGTTTGGTTCTGGGCCACAGTTTATCTGTGAAGGGGTCATGGTGATAGCACCACTTCATAAGGTGGTTGGAAGGATGGGGAGAGATTGTGCGGGTAGTAGGCCTGGCACACAGTAGGTGCTCAGGGATTGTGAACTCCTGTCTCTGAGTTCTCTATTGTGGGTGACTGGGGCAGGAACAGGGGCCTGCCCCCTACAATGAGAAGCAACCAGGCTGGGGAGGGGTCCCCTGGTGCGTGATGCCAGCCCTGTGTACTAGGAGGTGGGGCCATCACAGCCTGTGGGTGGAGGAGACAGGCTGGCCTCTAAGGACCCTGCCTGTCCTAGTGCACTCTGTTTACTCCTCTCCTTTTTCAGGACAAGCAGCTGCGGATCTTCGACCCCAGAGCAAAGCCAGGGGCCTCCCAGGTGAGTTTTGTGGGCAGGGGGCTGGCTTGAGGCTCTAGTGGCTCCAGCAGGTACAGGTGGGGGCAGGCTCTTGGCAGAGATTTTGTCACACCCCGTGCCCCTGGCCAAGGCCCGGTGGGTGTGTAGGGGTCACCTGGGAGTGGGCTCCTGCTACTGGGAAACATATTTTGGGTCCTGGGAGAACCTGACTTTGATCACAGTGTGGGGTGCAGCCTGGCTGTCTACAGGCCTTCAGTGGAGGCATCCTGTGGCTTTAGGAAGCTAATTTGAGATTCCAGCTTCCTCTCCTTCTTTGTGACCCTCATCCCCCCTACCCTTCCTGGCACAGTTGGCAGAGGCCAGCCTTGGAGGAGCCAGAAAGACACGGCTGCCCACCCCATACCCTTCCAGTCTCATAACCAGTGGACCCTCATTCTGTACTTGGGGTCTCTGGAACCCAGGCACTGAGCGTGTTTGGTTTGTGTCTGTGATGGTGCTTGGGGTGCTTGGGGCCTTTTGAGTCCTGAGTGGGTGTTGGGATCTGGGCTCATGCTATAGCCACTGAGCTACTAGGGAATCATTCATTCATTTGATGTCAGCTCGGTGCCAGGCACGTGGTGAGGGGCCTGTCACCTGGGCTGGGGGAAGCCGTTAGAGCCATTTTAAGCAGAAAGTGGGATGAGTAGGTTTACAGTTTTAAAAAATTTTTCTAGAAGGTGAGGAGGCTTCTTTCCTGAGGAAGGTAAAGATCAGGATCCTGCTGCCAGCGCAGGGAAAGAGCTCCTCAGTGAAACCCAGGCCCATCATAGATACCCTGTGTCCATCTCTAGGACTTGTTCCCTACCTGGGGTCAAGGGTAATTCACCAGCCTAAACCTGATCAGCAGTAGCCAGGAGTGGGGGGCCTTCCCCCCCCATACCTGTAGCACGCACACGCACATGCACACATGCACACACGGGGTCCCCGTCATGTAGGCCACAGCGACTTGTTGCCCAAGACAGCCCAGCCAGTTCTGTTTCTGACTGGCTGAAGACCAAAAGGAGGTCCTGTATTGACAGGTGAACCAAGCCAGGCAGAGGTGCTTTTAGCCCACCCACCATTCCAGCCCACCGTGGCCATGCTTCCCAGGGAGGTTGGCCCTGTGGCTGGCGGTGGTGGCTGAGTCTCAGGACAGTGTGGGTATGAGCAGTGCCCCCCTCTGGAGCTTTCTGTGCTTGACCTCCAAGCCTCTGCCTGGAAAGGGGTTCCCAGGTTGAAGGAGGGAGGCTGAGGCCCTCCACCTCCAGCTTTCTCAGGGTCCCAGGGCACTTTGCATTGTACCCCCATTCTTGCCCCAACTGGGCATTGTATGGGGCCAGCTCCCCTGGCCCAACATTGTCTTCCTTTCTTCCTTGCCTCTTCCTCCAGCAAGCAGTGGGCGGGGGTGGGGGCGGGCAGGAACCATGATGGTGCCGAGGTGGAGAGAGAGTGGCTGCCGTCCAAAGGGCTCCCAATCCCAAGTTCCTAGAAGAAGGGGGAGAGGATCTGGTTCTGGAGGGAGCCCCCCTGAACGGGGCTTCTGGGCCAAGGAGACCTGGGAAGAGCGTGGGTGGCTCCTACCCCCTCCCAGCTGCTGGGATGGTGCCTGTGCTCTGCGCTGGTGCGGGGGCAGCAGGGCCTGGAATGCTGCCCTTCTCGTGGCCCTGCCCCCCACTTCCGCCCAGGGCATCTGGCCCACACCTGGCTTCTATTAGGAAAACCACTGCTGGCGGCCAGGGTCGGTGTGAGCTGAGGGGCCAGCTCGGGGGAGAGGCCTTCTGGGAGTGCCTTCTTTTGAGATCCTCCTTCCCCACTAGAGGGGGGGGCATTGTTAAGGGGCATCAGGGGAGGGTGCGCTAGGGGCTGTCACTATAGCCAGAGCCTGGGGAGTCCTCTGCTGTGTTTTCTGGGCCCTGTGTGATCTCAGCTTGGGTTGGGGGATGCTTGGGCAGCTCCCTCCTGTTCCCACATCCCCGACTTTGTTTCTAGATTGCATTTGACTATTTATTATACCCTGAGCCCTTGGCACACACAATCTTTTTCCACCCTCGTGATTGTCCTATAAAGTTGGACCTTTGGTCATTTCTGTCCCAGGGTCACAGCAGGGCAGCCTGGGCAGGCTCTATCTGTTTGATGCTAAAGCCCCTTCGATGTGCTGGAGCCTGGGTGGGGGCAGCCAAGGCCCTGGAGCCATGGGTGTGCAGGGATGTAGCAGCCTGCAGCTGAAGGGGTGTCCAGGGAGTGGTGAGACTTCAGCACTGGCGTCAGGGGTAGGAGGGGCCTGGGATGAGCCCTCTGACCTCTGGCGTGGGCTGGTAGACCTGTGCCTTTGGTGTATGTCAGGCAGGCCTTGGGGGGCCAGCATCTGGAGCCCAGGACTGAGCCTGGCCGAGAAGGGGCCATAGGTGGGTGGTGGGGGTCTTATATCAGAGACGGTCCCCTTGGCTGAGGAGGGAGCCCAGCAGCCCAGGGCTACTCCTCCAGCTGCCATGCCCCATTCAGGAAGCGCTGCTGTGGCGACAGAGCGGGGATTTGGCTGTCCTGCGCCTGGAATGCTGGGTATGTGCCTGCTCCTGGCACCCCTGTGCTGGGCAGTCAGCCTCTCCTGTTCTCTCCTTGGGGCCAGGTGTGGGGGAGACACGAGGGGACCGAGGGGCTTCTCCATGAGCAGAATGCCCTGCTGCCTGTTGGGACAAAGGCCACCCCTGTGAGGGGGAAAGCCTGAGGCCTGACCTGCAGGCTGGGGATTACCACCAGCGGTTTCCCCTAAAGCCTCCTGTGACAGAGCTGGGACTTTGGGACGGCAGACTGCCTGAGTTCCAGCTAAACCTCCCCTCTGCCCAGGAGAATGAGAATTTGGGGATCTGGAGAGAGGGCTCCTCCTCCCTGAGTCCCGCTGAGGTCAGGGAAGAGAGGACTTGCCAGTTTTGAAAATGAAAATCATTTTAATGATCTGGGGACACTGGAGGGGGGAGGGGGTCAGTGGCCATCCCACCCCAAACGGTGGGGCTTCCTGTGGCCCCTGGGCACACTGAGGCAGGTGTGCCCACAGTGGGCATGCTGGGCCCAGGCTAAGCTCCTGCCTCGTCTCAGCTTCCTTGGTGCCTTCAGTGTACTCAGAGACCAGTGCCCTGCCCATCACCACCCTGTGGGCAGCCTGGGTCCCCTAGTGCGAGCTCATCCAGGGATGTGTGCTGGGGGTGCAGCTGGGACCCGGGGCCCCTCCTGGTCCCAGCTCTGTTGCCTTCTAGCTGCTGCTCTGTCTCCTCATCTGTTCTCACCTCAGGTCCCTCTCATACAGACATAAAGCAATCACCCAGCCCACAGGGGGCAGGAGGCTCGGACAGCTGACAGCTGTCTTGCTGGGTGACTTAAGGCAGGTGGCTTCTCCCTGAGCCTCTGGTTTCTCCATGTGTGAAATAGAAAGGTGGAAGACGGGCCAAGGTAGATTCCGTCCCTGACCTGTGCCTCTGTATGAAAAATGCTCCATCATAGTTCACATGCCCTGGGGGCTTGGAGGCGCCTCCTCCCCCTTGCTCCCTGCCCCCTGCAGCTGCGCTGGCCCCTTTGCTCTCCCAGGTCCCCACTCTTCACAGGTGCTGGCCCCCTGCCTGGCTCATGCCTGCTGGTCCTTCCTGCCTTCACTCAAATGTTACCTTAAATCTATTTCTCTCTATTATACTTTTATCGTACTCTGTTATCATGCTTTTTAAGAAAATGCATATTGGATATGTTCCAGACAAGCCGCCCTGAACATTCACCAGTGTTAACGCTTCCCACAACAACCCTCCAGAGTCTGTCCCATTACAGTGCTCTTTCTACAGATGAGGGAATAGGCACAGAGGTATAGAGCTATTCGTGCTGGGATGAGGCAGTTAGTCACGGGGCAGGTTTTCACCCAGACTGGACAGCTGGTACCCTTAACCTCCACTTTGTTCCTTCCTGGCACTTATAATAATGTGTAGGGACACAGTGATTTCTGTTTGGTTCATCTCTGTCTCCCAACTTGTATATTCAGTGAGGTGGGGGACCCTTTCTACTTTCACATGTCCCCAGTGCCTAGCGGAGTATGCTGCTCAAACATTCATATTATGAAAGAGCAAATGAATGAGCAGCCCCGCTTCACCCAATGATGTGACAATCCATCTAAGAACCATCCGGCTCCCCCATAGCTCCTAGCATGGTGCTTGGCCTGGGGAGGCCTCATGTGTCTGTTGAATGAATGAGTGATGCACGATGCTTTGCCAGCCATCTGGTTTGCTGCATACATGGGATATTTACACACCAGTGAAAGGGAGGGCCCGTGTGACACTTACCACTGACTCTAGGGTGTCAGGGCACGGCTGACCTTGCCCTGGTCCCACAGCCCCTTATATGTGGAGAGGAGTGTGGGGCGCTGGTTCTCAGCCTCCAGCCCTGATTTCCTGTGCCGGCTGCCGAGTGGGGAAGGGAGCAGTGAGAAAAGCCCCTTGAACAACATGGGCTGTTCCAGGGTCTCCCACGCTGGGGTCCGCCTCCGCAGGCTGGGGAGGGGACACTGGGCCAGCTCCTCCCAGGCTACCTCCCTCCCTCATTCATTCCCAAGGAGATCGTGGGAAGCTTGGAGGAAGCTGGCCACAGTTTGGGGTGAGCTATTTTTGGTAACAGGGTCTTTGGTCTCAGGCTCCAGGGGCCGAGGTGACTGGGAGGGAGCTATTTGCATTTCCTCTGGCCCCCTCTGCTCCGCCCCCCTGCCTGGGCCCTGGGGACAAGGCCGCCTGTGGATGAACCTTCTCCTCCCTGGGCCCAGGAAGCCTTCCTTCTGACAGCTCCAGCACTGCGGGAAAGCGAGGAGCTTGGACACTTAGCACTTATCTGCCCTCTCCGGGGACCATTCCCTAGAGCTGGGCACCAGGCCCTCTCCCCAGGCCCTGGCAATCAGGAGGCGACCGTGATGCTCATACTCCCTTGATCTGCAGTAGGCCGGTCCCTCTCGCATGTGGTGTCAGTTGGTCCTTGGACAGCCCTGCAAATGTGAGCCCCACAGTGAGAAAAATGAAGGT